GCAGCTCAGAGTTGGGGGTTGATATTTATTTCCTTCCCTTCTCTGTACCTTTCCTCTTGAGTTCGGTCCTGGTTGTGTGGTCAGTGGGGGTACAGGCTTGTAACTGCCCGGCCACCGAGAGCTGGACATGCCCGAAGGGAACAAAACCCTCCGTTCCTCACTTTCTGAGGAAAGCTGATGAAGTAGCGATGGAACAGTGCATCTAAGCTGCCAATCTTTGGGATTGATATTTTAAGTTAGTCTATTTAAAACCCTTTTAAGTTTTACTTGGGTTCCCTTGTGGCATCCCTAAGAGAGGTTTTTCCTGAGTGCTTGTGCTTTAAAAATCTCCGCAGAAGGAAGCGCGGAGGAACAGTGGCGTAGGGGAAGATGGTGCCTTGGAAGCATCTGCTGGCCGATGTGGTTTCATCGTGGCTCTGAAGGGCTGTCACTTGCAAATATGTGGAGTGAAAATAAATTATTTTATCGTGGGCAGGTACTCCGGTGTTTTCCAGTTATGTGTAACAGGATGTGTCAGGCTCCCCGCTTTCCAGAGAATCAAATGCTTCAACCGAGTTACACTTGCAACTGGCTAGCTCTCACAGTTGACAAAGCTTACACATCCAAGTCAAAAGTGAGTGTTTTTTTGATTTCCATTTCCCTACTATAAACACTGAACCTATCGCTTTGGTCTGAGATGCTGTAAACAGAATTTAAAAATACATAAGGAATCTCTTTAAATTCTTTATTTTTATTATTTTCTGATCTTACAGATGGGGACAGTAATGGTTTCTTGCTCTAGGTGCTAATCTGTGTCTGGAGACAGCACTGAAGATATTAAAGTATTAGGGAAATCAGGGGAAAGTATTAATTACTGTTTAAAACAAACCAGCATATATATCACCAGCCTGACTGCATCAGGGTTTTTTTTCCTTTTTTAAAAAAGAAGAAAGGTTGCTCTGGAAAACCTCCCATGGTTTCTGGGCTGAGAATTAATCTGGGTTATAACCTCAATTATATCAGCAGGCAGGGAGGTGCTGCTTGAACAAGCTGCCTGCCTCACTGCTAAAAATGTGCCTGCTGGAAGTTATTGAAGCTGTCCCCTCACCCCCGACGTTTATGAAAAGGCTAATCTTCTCTAAGTCTCTTCTAACCTAGCAAGCTCTTAAGGGGCTGGATCCCTGATTAAAAACCTGGAGGAAAGCAGCTGTCTTTTGATCCTCTCAATTATTCCTTGGTAGCTGATAGGTGTTGATTTCCTGGGAGTGCCATGGCGATGGAGGTTACGTTTCCCTGCCTCGTTGGGACTGAATGTTCAGCGGGGGGTTAGTCGTTTGAATGGTTGGGTGGGAGCTTTGGAGGTGGAAAGAGGGAGTCGTCTTCCCTGCGATTTCATCTGATCGTGAAGGGCTGCCTTTTATTTGGGAGCATGCACCTAAAGGCCAAAAAAACAGCTATCCAATGTCAAGGCAAGGGAGGCCTCTTTAATTACCTTTTTTCTTTTTTTTTGTTGTTTTTCTTTCTGCTGTATCTCACCAGCTGGTGGCCAGGAGGGTTTTAGAACGAGTTTAGTTAGAAAGTCAAAAATAACACCTTGCTTTTTCCTGCTCTAGCGTGGTGAATAAACCGCAGTTAAGTGTTGCGGGATTGTTCTTTCGCTGCTCTCCCCAGTCCTCATCACTTCACCTAAAAATACGAGCCACCGAATCCCTGTTGGTGCATCCTGGGCACGCCTGGAGATGATTGTGAGTGCTGTACGTGCGTTTTTAACAGGTAGGGCTTAGTTCTGACTGGCTGAGAGCCACGAGGTGTCCGATCCCTGCTGGGAAGTGCCCAGCTCTCCCAGCTGGTTTTCAGGGAAGGTTCACAACACTGCAGGTTTTGTGTGAGCGTTTTCTGCTCCCTCTGATGCCCCTCGTGATCTGCTCGTTTAATTAAACAGGAGACAAGTGCAGGAGGGGGAATAGCGTCCTTTGGCCCTGCTCTGTCCCACTTGCAGTGACAGTGACAGTGTCCGTCGCCTGATATCTGTGCTGCTCTGTGCGTGCAGCTACCTTTTCTGCAAATGTCAGGTTCTGGGAGACTTAACTCACCTGACACCTGAGAATGGGTTATTCTCAGTTATTCTCCCGGCAATACCGTATGAAAGGTAGGTATGTCAAGAGATTAGGTTTGTGGGGCATTTTTTTCCTCTGGGACACAAGACTTTCAAGCATCGTGCACCTTGTGCGAGTGGTAACTGTAAGCACCCAAGTGTAACATACTTTTAGTATCTGAAGGTGCATTTATTTTGAGCAGGATGCAAATTTTGATACTCCAAAGCACGTGCCTTCATGCTTCTCCTTTAGGGATGCTCGCTGTAAAAAATTCAGTCTTATTGCTGAAAAACTTGCTTCCCAGCCCGTTACTGGAATGAGTCCATTATCCATTCCTTCCATATATCCTTCCTCCTCCACAGCTCTGTCCCAGGAGTGCTTTGGGCAAGCAAAACGTTCAGGGCAGGACCTCCTTCTCTTTTGCTTTGTGGCTGCCTCTGTTTCCAATCCATCTCCGTAACACATTCCTTACCTCTAGCATTTGCCAGTTCCTGCTGGTGAGACAGCGTTTCTGTTCCTCCTTCTGAAACCCTTCCACCAACGTGAACTGTTGCCGCTGTCATGCATGTTTTTGATTGCCTTTAACCTCTTAGCACCTTGAGGAAGGCCGTTTGGATCCAAATTTTGTTGAGGCTCTAATCTGGTGTCGCTCCACCTGGAGCCCTGTGGGAGAGATGGGCAGCCAGTACTTCTGCAAACCAAGCTGCTTCCCTTTTGATTTGTCTATAGAAAGGTGTGTAACTACCAAAATGTTACTATTTTTATGAGCTGTTGTCCCTTTACTTGCCCCCACTTTGAATCTCCTGATTTTTGAGCTGCTAATTCTTACCAAAAAAAAACCCAAAACAAAACTATGTAGAAGTACAGCTTTGACTGAAAAGAAAAAAAAAAAAAAACCCTCCCCAAATACCACAGATGTATTTGGTTTAGAGCTGTTTGAGAAAACTGGAGTTGTTGAAGTACACAGTACTTCAACTAGCTCTGCTTTCTGTGTTTGCTTACATTTATAATATAATGAGACTCATATAGTCTTCTATGCATTTGCTATGCCCTTTGATCACAGCAAAAAATTACAGTAGTAGCTTCTCTCTCCTCTTTGAGCATTTGGAAGGGAGAACCCAAACAGGAATATTCCATGTTACACAGACATACTACCCGAGGTAACATTACTTTTCCGTATGCGAAGCGGTGCACTTCCAGGTACCTAAATACCCTATAGTTTTTAAAGTACATTCGTAAGTTGTTCAGCGGCGAAAGCAGGATGGATCTGGACTGGAAATTGCTGTTTGATGCCTTCTAGTTTAACTCACAAGGTGAGTTGACTGATAATCGAGGTAATTTTGTAACGAGTTGACAAAAAAAAAGGTACATAAAGGCTGAAAAAAAGAGAGGGAAGATGTGTTGGAGTGTGAAGTTTGGAAGTTGTGTGACTGGGATCACTCGGGTGTAAAAATACCCCAGACCTCTCTGGCTTGCACCTTCCAATGGTGCTGAGATTGCTGGGAATTGAGGGTTCTCTCCTGAAGTCTTCTGTTCTGCGGAACATCACACTGCTGCACACCTGCAGTTCTGAGGGGCGGCAGCCAGTGTCCTTACTCCATGTAGTGCCTGAGGGATTAGTAGAACTAGTTGCCAAGTAAGGAGCCGTTCAAAGCAAATAAGATCAACAAGCTCTGGCCCTTGCTGCTTAGGTAGGTGGTATCACTCGGGTTTTTTAACCGCAGGGTCTATTGAGCCTTGTCAAATGTTGGATTTAACTCAAATGCCATTTTACAAAGTTTACCATGCTCCTTCTTGTCCGTATAAACCTCATCAGTGATCCACCAAGTCCTTTCATCTTTTAGAAAGAACTGGAAGCACAGGAATTCCACAGGAGCTATTGAATTAAATGAATACAAAGTTCTCAGTAAGTAGCCAGAAAATATATTTCTCTTAAGTGACTTCCAACAGTAGATTTTCATAACCAAGTCCCTGACTATGTCATATCCAACAGACCAGAAATTTCAGAGACACTATTGGAGCTGGAGGCATCAGGAGAAATTAGGCACTCAAATGCCTGTTTATGTGCCAGAGTCCAGTGTCTATGGGTCACCGGTATTCCCGTGGCCTCCCCTTAACCCTTTTGCAAGGAACTGAAGCCAGGTCACCCATATCCTTGGCTGCGTGCCGAAACTGTTGGACTGCTCAGTAAAACAGCGGTGGCTTCTCTGTGGAGGGCATGCACGGTTGGAGTAGGCTTGTCAGAGAAGGTCTTAGCCTGAGGCAAGAGGGAACGCCTGGTTTAGGGATGCTGAGGGAGTTTTTGTATGAGATGGACCTTGGGTGGGTCAGCAATGCCGGGTCTCAGGCAGTCAGGCTCACACCCAGCCCCAGGAGCATGGGGTCTATCCCTGGAAATTCATCCAGAGGGGAGTGCAGCTGCTTGTAGGGTGCAGCAGGGGTTTTGTGAAAGACAGCGGGACGGACACAGGAGGCATCAACGTTGGAATGCTACCTTCTTGCGCATCGAAACCTCAGTGCGGCAGGGTCTCTTACTATTACATTTTGATTTAGGCACGTAGAGGAACAAGATCAATGTGTTTATTCAACATGCCTGGTGAAAATCTTTTAAGACTACCTTCTCTGTGTAACTATCTTGACTGCTACCAGCTCCTTCAGGCAGAGTCCGCACCAGCGTGAACGCAATTTCCATGCATTGTTTCAATCTGGAAATGAAACAATTTTCATTAATGGAAACCTGGTTCTCAAGCAGAACAATTAGACCCACTTCAGGTTGAAAAAAGATAAAAGCATGCTAATTTGGATGGAGGACTCTTCTTTCAAGGCAGCCAATTGAGTCATCAGCCTGCCACCCACCTGACCGTCTGACAGGTAATTAGGAGATAGTCCTCTTTTTGTGTGGAGCGTGTGCGTAAACCTCCATGCGCTGGTGTCACTGCCCATTGGGACTTCCAGAGGGAAGAGCGAGTCAGTGGCAAAAGAGTGAGGAGAGCACGTTTGTCGGACGGTGTCCAGTGAACTGACTTAGGGTTTTTTTTGATTCAGCTCACTATTTTTGTCTTTTAACAGCCACCTGAAGTTTCTGGCAGTAAAGTCGTCATGGCAGACCTGGGCTGCAAAAAGCCCAGCGACTGCACCGTCTCCAGGCTCCTCAGCGTAGTGGAGAGCGAACTCCGGGCTGGGAGGGACAAAGGTGACCCCACTGAGAAACAGCTCCAGGTTGTCTTGGAGGATGCAACACTCTGGCAGAGATTCAGGGAAGTCACTAACGAGATGATTGTGACCAAGAACGGCAGGTGAGTGATTTGCTCAGCACGGTGGGCTCAGTGTAGGTGACAGCTGGGGGGGTTAAGTGGTATAATAATAACCTGTGCAGGCAGGCTCGAAAGAACTGCAATGAGCACTGAATGGTTTTGTCATTGCGGGCTCGCAGTCCCCTAAAACCAGCTTATGCACAGAATGGGGGGGTCACTGCTAAACCATTCCTGCCACCCCGTATACCTGCTTGCGAAACATGCCGGAGAAATACACTGAATGCCCTAAGGTTGCACAAAAAGGGAACTTGTGCAAGGGAAGAGATGGTAGTTCTCAAAACCTTTTGCATGACTTCTGGTACTAATAATCATCTGCTTTTATTAGCAAGTCCTTACCTGTAGACCTCAAATTGCTGTACAGAAGCAGACTGGTGTCCTTATGCCCAGCTGCAGTTCCCGTCTCTCTGGCACGGGGCACTAACAGTTTGTACAAGCAGTCTGTACTAGAATGGGGTACAACAAAACTGTGCCCTACGTGATATCTCTGCACAGTCCGGGTTGCGTGGTCCCACAGTGGTGTTGCTCCGTAGCTGTTGCTGGTGCCCTTAGAAACAAGTGCAGAACATGGGTTAACACACACAGTTCTGGGAAGACAAAATACTGTGCTGTAGATGGATCACATATCTTACTGTTTGGGGAACACAGAAAGGCACAGGAGAAGAGTGGAAAAACCCATGGAGAAAGGTACTAATTCTGAATCAGACACTGGCATGAAGGAGGCTGAGCACAGAGGTTCTGCTCTGAACTGGGCTGACAGCGGAGTCCAGCCCATAACAGGCAGGCAGCTACTACAGTGAGGTTCGTTGGTAGAGTGGTATTAAGGTTTTTATTTAATGTACCCTCGCCACCCCTCTGCCCTCCCCGCCCCCAGCGTGCACATGTTTCTTTTGCAAGACCTCTCGGGAGATCCGCATAGGAGAGAGGAATTAAGAGATGGAGAGAAAGATTTACTGATGTGGTGTGATTTTTATTAACTTTGCAGACTTTGATTTAGCAGAGTTTGTGGATGATACGACTGTTGGCTGTAGCGTGACAAGCAGTTAAGAGGAAAGACCTTGTCTGTTGGCTCAACAAGGTTATTCTGTTGAGAGAGCAGCTGCCTTCCCAAAACAGTAACTCTTGGTGTAACACTGCCTGTTGCTATTCTGATTGCTCCTAATAACCTATAGGGCCAGAAATCTGCTGCTGAGGTGCGCTGCCCTGAGAAACTGCTTTTGCCTTATTTAAATCGCTTTACAAACTGCTGTTAGGCTGCAGCCAACTTTGGAGTGGACTTTGACTTAAGGTACTTCCAGCACCTTAAACTGACTCCTCAGCAGCGTAAGTAACCAAAAAGGAGGTAAGGTAGGTTTGCCTTTAATTAATTAAATTGGTACAAAGAATCGCACGTTGCCAACAGGGTTCTTATCCGTTTCTTTCCTCTCAGCTACTGTAAATCACAAGTGCACGGTGATTCTAGTTCTCTCTAAAATGTCTAGATGAGTGCATAGATAAAGTCTTCTGATGATGATGATAGGGGGTTCTTTCAGTACTTGAATATGCCTGGTGACTTCTTATTTCATTGTGTAAGCTGCCTTTTATTCTAACTGATACACTCCTTAGCATCTTGATCCTACTTTTCCTTAAGCCAGTGACAGGTCTAGTAACATCAGTGGGGGCAGGAATAGGTTCTTTGGGATCAAATTACAGCAATACGAAAAGAAAAAATTACAGAAGTATGTCACACTGTCATCTCCATAAATCCTTTTAACAATGTTGCTGTACTGTGTAACTACTGTTACTATGGAAAAGGATCCCTTGCATTTCTGAAAGTGTCTTCCCTAACACATGCGTTAGCGCACCAAAAAAAAAGGAAGTGCAGACAGCGTCCTGCAGCAAAGCGCTCCGAACAGCTCCGTGCCATTCAGAAGGAGGCAGGCTTGAGAGTGCAGCGTCTTTTTCAGGTTCAAGATTCCTCAGTGATTGTCCCCAGAGGGATTCTCAATAGGAAAAATATTGATCTAATTCTGCTGCTGCTTAAATCAGTAGAACTCAGCGATTCTTGCCGAAGGCTATATGAATGCTTTTGACAGCTGTGTGCAGCGATTAACGAGGAGCGCTACTCGGAACTGCTGTGTGTGAAAACTGAGGCAGTTGGTGCCGACACGTTGTTAGCAAAATTCGGAAATTCAACCGAAACCTGATACAGGAGCATCCCTCAGAATGAAAGGCTGATTGATTAATGATCCTCAAGTGTCAAATTCTAGCATGCACAATCCTATCTGCGGTGACTGAGTCATCTCTAAGTGGTACTGAGGATCCCAAAATGACATCATTAGATGACTTCAGTCTCAATACACAGATATGTCTGTGTTGCTGTATCATATTCATTGTAATAATCACCAGCCATAGCAACATGCCTCGGTAGGTGCAGGGGGAAGATAGATATATTCTGAACAGGACAGACATCAGTGACATTCAACCGCGGTGTTTCACAAAATACATCTCAATGGGTGCAGCTGGTGTGGTGAATCAGCCTCCTGTTTTACTCAGGTTTATTGTATTCGATTGGCATTTCAGTATCAAGCACTCCGTTTTCTGCTTGAGCAGGTTTTCTCTCTCAGTGTTTACGCCGCATTAGCTGTGCAGCACCCCGAGACTTTGCAATCCATGGTATCACCTGGAGGCAGGAAGGTGCCATTGCCCACATTTGGGAAGAACCCACAGCGGATCAAGGCAAACGGGGGAAAGAAGCCCTTTCCAGGCTGAAATGCTAAAGCAACTTTACTGGTTACTACGCGTTCAGGTTTGATATCAGACATCTTCCCACTCAAGTTCTGTGCCGCGGAGTCATTGCAGCAGACCTGCTCTAAACGAGTCGTAGAGGCTGAGGTGCTGAGCCGTTGCAGTAACGCAGGGCGCGCGTGCCTACGTGCTCCTTGAAACAAACGTTCTGACTGCAGCAAACTTGGAGAAACCGTCATTTGCCGTGCTAAAAGACAGACAGGTGTGATTCTAACGGTAGAGCCACTTAATTGGCAGAACAAGTGAGGTGGTAAGTTTTCCGTCATTAGAATCCGTACAGTCAAGACATGCTGCTCCAAGGGAGGTGGGGATTAACTGGGTGTGAAGCAGGTTAGGGCAGGGAAGTGCCAAAATCGCTGTGATACAGGAGGTTAGGATTGATGGTGACTCTATTCCCTCCTGGCATTAGTCTGTAGGTCTTCTGGGGATAATCTCAAGTCTCTCAAGTAGAAAGGCAGGCGAGTGTGCATTGTGGGCAGAGCAATTACCAATCTGTATGTCACACAGCTAGTTCTGAGAAATGGAGTGAAATCGAGTTTTCATGCGGGTGTATTTTCCCCTCCAATTCAATTTCAGCTAAGTATCGAAGTGTGTTCCTTTGAAGACTGACTGCAGGGCTCTGGGGGGTGCAGGGAGCAATGCAGCCATACTTTTTATCACATCCCAGTTTGATAGCTGATGCATCCTGGTCAGACAGACACATTAAATGTAGCTTATAGATCCTTGGCTAAGCTTCTATTTTGTTAGAAAGGTCACAGTTCAATATATCTTTCTCAATGTTGCACTGCCCCCACGTCACCAAGTACTTGTATTAGGTGAAAAATCTCAAATTTCTCAAATCCTGCCTTTTCCTGTCAGCAGCAGGTGCTGAATGTATACAGAAAAAACTCCATAAGGGTGTCCAGAAAGGTAGGTGATGGGTGGGATGTCACAGGAGGTTGTTAGGAATCTGCAGTTGGGTGTCAGTGGCTGCAGGGGCAGAGATGTTTGGTGTTCCTTGAGAGAGCCTGGAGCCTCAGTTCCCTTCTCGTGTATTTTGGAGGTCTTGCCCCGCTACCTATGTCAGCTTAGAGAGCTACCTTACCTTGGCCCCACCGCCATGGACCTCAGGCTCGGGTTGCTTGGTGTAACCAGCCTCTCTGTATCTGGAGGGAAAAGGAGCTTGAACTTCCATTGGCCTGTGCACAAAAATACGGCATGGCAGAATGGGACTTGCCAGGAGAGGTCAGTACGAGGGTGTCTGGGGCAGGGAGGCCTCTCACCGTGTGAGAAGGATGTAAGAGGTGATACGTAACAGCTTTAATAATCCTCCACAGTAACAACGTGTATTCCTTGACAAGCTAAGAAACCTGATGAATAGGATACCTTTGTTGAGAGACTCCTCTGTGCTGATGGCCACGGTTTTTGTTCCGTTCCTGAAACTGCTGGAGCCCTACTAACTCTATGGCTGCAGACTTCCAGGCACTGAGATGCCAGTTCAAAGCTCTGTGGTACGGATCACAGGTGCTGGCACAGAGAGAAAACTGCTGAAAGCCTGGCTGTAAGCTGCTGCAAATCTCCTTTGCAAAAGAAAAAATAATAATTAAAAGGGAGTTGAGAAAAGGTGGCCTTGGCCCTTTAAGCACAAAAGGAGCATTCTCCCAAAACCAAACAAAGGCAGGATTTAGTTTGGAAATGCACGAGACGGTGGGAAGGCTGGAAGATAGATGTTTGGATCTTAGTAAAAGACAACATTGCATCAAGATGGCACTAAAAGCACAAGGACCTGATCAAGATGATGAGGTCAGGGAGCATGGAAGAATGGGACAAAATTACTGGAAGAACTGCCAAGTGCACAGTCTTTAACCAGACCTCTCAAACTGGAGATTTATGTAATGGTGGTGGGACAGTATGTGAATACTTTCACTTGAGAAAAGGAGAAAACAGATTTCGGCTAACTACAGACTTCCTAATATATGCCTGTAATAAGAATTCAGGATGTATTTGGAAGGAAAGAGTAATGAAATATGTGGAAGACAATGGAAAATGAGATAAAAAGGCATTTTATTAAATTTAATGTGTCAGACTAACCTGACACAAGCCTGATAAAGAAGTATTTTTAGACCAGGAGAATGCAGCAGACTTATTAGGCATTTAGACTAGCGCTACCTGGAAACCATTATGCAAGTGGGAGGTGTTGGGGATTAACACCAGAACCACGGGAAATGACAGAGGGAAGTGGCTGGCTTTGCTCACAAAGATTATAGGGTACGACTGGCCCTTCAAAGAAAGGGAGAACAAGCTTTTGTGTAGAGTAGGGTGGTCAATAAACCTAACTGGAGCCTGGTGAGTACCTGGCTGGGGTTATGTCCTAGTTGCTGGAGACTGCCGGATGATTTCAGCGGATATACCCAGTGTCAGACAAAGAAGGACTCGGCCACTGGACAGACTATGGGACCATGTGTTGGGGGCATGTAAGCACCAAAGAAGTGCACTTTATAATAGGATTCTGCAGTTAATGCAGTGAATCTGTGGTTCATCTCCACCTTCCTCTGTTCATGCCTTCTTGTCCCACAGCTGAGGATGTATTTAGCACGCCTAGATCCCACAAACTGAAGCTATACGCTGCTTCATTATGTTTGTATCTCTTGGTGTGATCAAGACCTTAGTGACTTTAGAGATAACATGTTTTTTTCCAAATTACTGAAATAAAATAAGAATGAAATGAAGGATTAACATTTGAGAGTAGGATTAACCTTTAAGAAACTTCTTCAGCTAGCTGGAGGGAGGCTGTTTATACACCTAATCTGTGAGCATCTGATCACAAACACACTGAGGAGAGTCTTTCAAAACCAGTTTCCAGCGGTGTCTCCCTTTTTTTTGTTTCCTGGCCAGGCGGATGTTCCCTGTTTTGAAGATCAGCGTGTCGGGCTTGGACCCAAATGCCATGTATTCCTTCCTGTTGGACTTCGCGCCAACTGATGGCCACCGCTGGAAGTACGTCAACGGAGAATGGGTGCCGGCTGGGAAACCAGAGCCGCCAAACCACAGCTGCGTCTACATCCACCCAGACTCTCCCAACTTCGGGGCCCATTGGATGAAAGCTGCCATTTCCTTCAGTAAAGTCAAACTCACCAACAAGCTCAACGGGAGTGGGCAGGTATGGCCTGATGTTTCCCCATACACCTCTTGGCTTCAATTGCAAGCACCTACCAATCAAGAAATATCAAGGGTGCATTTATGTAATTATAGAGGCCCTTACGGGCCTCTTCACCCACAGATGCCAATTATTCTCTGGAGGCCAAATGTAAACAGGAATAAACAGGCCTTAATTGGCGCTTTCAGATTTTAATGGACTTCTTGATGTTAAGAGAGACAGAGTGCTGTGGTTTACTTAATCATCAGGGGGCTTTTCAGAGTTGGTCTTGTGTGCTGGGGATTTTTACATAGGACTTCAGAGAAGGGGGAAAAAATGGTCACGGGTATTAGGTTTTTGTTGTGTTCCCCCATGTTGTTTGGTGTAAGTGGAATGTTGGCAGGAGTCAGATAGCAGAATAAAAGGCTGCTCCTAAATGAAATAATTACTATGTCTGCTTCTGCATCATGATAATTATCAATATTCTATTGAATCAGCTTTGGCCTTTGGAAAGAAACCACATGTACCAGAAATAAGTGACTTTCTCTTTGAACCCCTTAAAAATGCAAACAGGAAAATTGGTTTTGTTTCGTATTTTATTTCTGGTGATGCATCTAAAGGTAAAATGTTGCACAAGACCTTTTGTTTGCTTGTTTGTTTTGTACAAAACTCCTACATTGGATGATACTTGTCAGCCCAGAATCAATTTCTTTCATGTAAAGGTTATATATTCTCTATCTGTTATTTCCATTACGTTTGTGAGGGACTGCCATAAGCCTAGTACCCCAATTAGGTAGGAAATTATCTCAGTTTTTACAGGCTGGAGAACAGGAAGATGACCTGACTTTTCCTAAGTCACATACGGAATCAGCACACAAGATTTATTGTGGAGCATAGAACGGGATCTGAATTGGCAAATCCTTGTCCTACATCCAGGACCTCAGAAAAGTATGCATGGGGGTAAAAAGCTACAGGAAACAAACGACCTTGGAGGGTTAAAGAGATCCTGGGGAAAAAACAAGGAAATGTGATATGTATATAAAGTTCTTTTTTTTTTAAATACCTTTTTCTTGCAGTAGAGAGAATTAAGCAATGTAATAGAATTCCTGAGGAAGGTGTGTGGTGGAATCAATGCTCTTCACAGCTTTTAATGCCAGGTCGGAGACATCTGCCAAGGCTTGTTCAGATACACTTCATCTTACCCAGAAAGATGACTAGGTGACTGCCTCAGCCCCCTCCTGGCCCAGATTTCTGTGGTGGTGATTCTGACTCTTTCAGATAGTAGAAGCAGAACAGGGATTGCCCCTTAACTGTTTGAACAGCCTCCAGCGCAGTGGAAGAAATGCTTCCCAATGGCTTGAAGGCCACGTCTGCCAACACAAACATTCACTAACACTGCTGCATGGACAGCTTTAAATCCAAGCCCAGCGGAGTCTCACTCTGTTCGGCCCTGTGGTTCATCAGAAGGGAGGAAGGCACCTGCCCTTCTGCTCTCAGTAATCAGGGACTCGGCAGGTTTAGCAGCGACATCTGGTCTATTATAGAGCCAGAGCGAAAGAGCAGCTGTGGGATACCGGCGTGGCATTGGTGTCTGTCTCTCTGTTTTGTTTTCTGCAGATAATGCTGAACTCCCTGCACAAATATGAGCCCCAGGTACACATAGTTCGCGTAGGAGGCCCCCACCGGATGGTGATGAACTGCTCCTTCCCTGAGACGCAGTTCATAGCTGTGACTGCCTATCAAAATGAAGAGGTAGGCAGATGTCACACTGTGCTCGTGCTCACCATTGATGACATATATTGAAAGCTTATTTACTACAAGATCAGCATGAGCAGACCAGTCCTCTTCTGGTTTCCTCACTGGTCCCACGCAGTGTAATGCTCCATCCAGTCCAATGCTCTGTGTTCTCTCTGCAGTAGAACATTGTCTAATCTATTAGTGTCTGGCTGCAGTACTAAGCCACGTTTAGCTTAATAACCTGCCACAGCTATTCCAGACTGGTCCATCTGTCCTGGCATCCCAATCCCATACTGGAAAAAAACCCTGTCAAATCCAATATCTTTCTCCAGCACTGACTGATAGCTGTAATAATAACCCTATTTCTCCCCGTTCCTTATCATACATACAATTGCAGAACGGTACAATGTTCTGTGGGAAAATTTCTTCCCAACCCCAAAACTGTAATTGAGGGATGCTTTGGGTTGTGACAATTGCTGCCTCGTGTGCCACGTCCCTTAGCTAGCGTTGCTGCAGGTTTGATTAATACGTGGTAGGAATTCAGTGTTCAAACTCTCCTGAAAGGGTCCCCCACCCCACAGGATTTGCCAGACTGGACCATTAGGCTGCCTTGGCTGGTGTTCTGCCTGTGGCACTGATCCGTACAGCACTGCAACGAGCAAAGCTCTCTCCTCACCAGCCCTGGAAAACCTTGTGTGTGGGGATATATTTTGTTAGGCTAGCCAAGGCAGTTCCACTTAGATTACTCTGGAAGGTGTTTTGTCAAGTTTCTGTTCCAAATTGCATTCACTAACATGCCTTGTTTTCTGTAAACTCAAGATAACAGCTCTCAAAATCAAGTATAATCCCTTTGCCAAAGCCTTCCTGGATGCAAAAGAAAGGTGAGGTCATCTTGGTTTTTTGTTCCCATAAAATTTACTGCTGATAGGGTTAAAACTGTGGCATCGCAATGTGAAAGATTAATTATATAACTTAATCTTGTTTCTGCTGTCTTAAATCCATAGTTACTCCACTGAGATTGGTAGGCAGACTCTCTAATAATTACAATAGGGTCTGAAGTGGGTGAATACCCTTCTGGGGACCCTAGGACTTAGCACTGTCTACCCAGGAAGCCTGCCTTGAGATGGTGTGAACTTCCCCAGTAAGGTTCTGCACTGCGTATGTTCACTACGCTGTACTTACACTCCAATGAATCCCATAATTTGATAGTTCAGGGAGAATAAAAGTTAACTGCTGCTGTTGAATAACTGAAGTGAAATGGCACTGTAACTGTGATGTAACTACACTGCTTTTATTAGATCTGTGTGATAATACATGATGTGTTTATTAAAAGTAACTTGCAGGAACCAACTATATAAGATGCTAGAGATGCTTCCATCGGAAACGAACTGTAGTTTATCTTTCAAAGTTTTACTTGCATCATCCATGCTAATGCAGTGGGGCATCCAAATGATCCATTCCCATCCATAATTGTTAATAAATTCTGTTTGCACCTGCTGTGTCTTCTGACACCCAAAGTGTCCCACGTTGCCTGCATGAGAATCCGTATTTTCCATTCCTCTCACCACTTAAGAAGCCGCCGTGTCTCAGCGTGAGGGTTTCCAGCTGCAGCGGGGGGGAATGCTGCCTTTGGCTGGCCTGGCTGAGCAGGAGGCAGAGCCCTGCTTTGGTCTGGGCAAAGGGCCAGGCTGAGGCTGTTGATGCAAGCAGGAACAGTGCCCACAGGTAGATTTAGAATTCCAGGTTCAGCCCCCAGATTTGGCACAAACTTAGGATCGTTTTTATGCATGCCATGAAACACAAGTTCCTGCTTTCTTTGTGGCAGACTGCAGAAGAGTCTACTGCAGCCTAGCAAGTGGTTAAAGAGGATGGATTTCCCTCCTTTTTAACTTGCTTTTCCATTTTTTTAGTGAATAGTTCTGGTTTTTACTTGCTTTTGTAATTTATAAATAAGAAATTACCACTAAGTATTTTGCTTTTCAGAAACCATCCCAAGGATGCTCCAGAAACAGTCTCTGAAGGTCAACATATGACATATTCTCACCGTAAGGTTTTGATTCATGTCAGCTGCAAGTTTTGTGTGATATGATGAAAGATATGGTTTAGTGGTGGACAGATACGGTTGGACTGGATGATCTCTAAGGTCTTTTCCAACCTAGTGATTCTATGATTCTATGATAGGTGCTGGGAACCTGGGACTTGCTTAACTGGATCGTACCAGTCATTCACTGAGTCCTGAACTGTGCTCA